GTGGCCGAGCTGCTCTGCTGTGCGTGGTGCCGGCCGGACTGATAGGAAGGAGTGTGCACTTCCTGTCAGTTCGGCCGGTGACAGGAAACAGGAATTTCTGTTCCGCGCGGAGTTTTTGTTTCCTGTAACCGGCCGGACTGACAGGAAGTGCACACTGAGTGTACACCTTCCTATCAGTCCGGCCGGGCACCGCGGACCAGCGAGCAGCTCGGCCACGCTACAAGGGAGGGGAGAATATGTGCTGCAGCTGCCTGAGGCTCTAAACAGAGTGCTCAGGCGGCTGCAGCATTTAAAGGGCCGGCCCTGCAGCGGCCGATCCTGACAGAATTTAGGGCGGCCTGGGGGGCAATTGCCTCCCTGCCCCCTGGCCCAGCCCGCCCCTGGTCAAAGAGAACACCTAGGCAGCGAGCCTACGTGGTGGAAGAAATCCTAGGTGGGGATCATACCACCGGCGCCTATCCATAGAGCAGTACCTCTGCTCTATCTTTGTGAGTATTATTTTATTTTCTCTACTACTCTCTTAACCTATCACAATTGAGAGCACTATTGCTGCTTTTTATTCTTCTATATTGGAGCACCAGACGGTGCTGACGGACATATCGCCGCTACATATCCTATAAGCGGGGATTATACCGCTGTACGCAATCCACACCAGAGCTGGCCATAGCTCTCCTGAATGTGAGTTCTTTACTTTTTGTTACCTATCACACCCTGAACTTTCATACTATACCATTAGTCGCCTCTATCTCTCTTGTATTTACATATACGGAACGGTCTACACCAGACGCATCCACAGAGGAACTCTATCAAGTATCCTAGACCATCTATTGGCACCCTAGCAATACTTTACTGGACTATCTACCCTTATTTGGCGCAGCCCTTCCATATCTTTTTGTATCTATCCACCGAAGGACCCGAGGGGTTTTCCTTCATTTGGGTTGCTGCCTACCTTGACTAATTTTGTGATTACTAGCGCTGAATTCTTTTTGTGTTTATCTACGTGGTGGAGCTGATGGTAGCACCGTTGACTTGGAGGGAGACAGACACAGGAATAACAACACTTGAGGGAGGAAAGACCAGAATTTCAGTTTTGGTCAAATTTAGTTTAAGGAAGTGGGGAGCCATCCAGTTAGAAACAGCAGAGAGGCAGTCAGAGACACTAGTCATGAGGGACGGGGAGAGATCAGGAGAGGACAGGTAGATTTGCGTGTCATCTGCATAGAAATTTTTATTTTGAAGTCCTGTGGGTGTGCTCTTCACTTTAACTATGTTATTGTGCTGGAGTATGCACCTAGCAACAAGACTGGGCCAATATCTGCTCATTACATATTAATTAAATTTCTCTGTGTATTATGCATATATAAATGTACATTAATATGTGTAAATATAATAGGTATATATATATATATATATATATATATATAATATATATAACTAATACACACATTAATAGTGTGTAGTGGTTATGGTGCCAGGAGTGTCGGCAATTGCCCCGTTGCCCCCCCATCCACCAGTGATATATACTGCCCCTATGTGTGTCTCTTTATCTCCAGCCCCTCTGTGTGCCTTTTTGTCTCCCCCAGTCACTCTGTATGTTTCTTTCTCCCCCTCATTGCTGCTCTGTGTCAATGTCTCCCCTCTCCTTCCCAGTCTCTCTCTTCCCCCTCTGCCTCTTTCTACCCCTCCCCTTGTGTCCCCCTCCCCTTGTCTCTCTCATTTCTCCCTCTTTGTCTCTCCCTCCCCCCTTTCCCTGTGTCTCTCCCCTCCTCCTCATCTCCCCTCCTCTCTCCCTCCCCCCTTTGCCTGTGTCCCTCCTCCCCATCTCTCCCTCCCCTTTCCTGTGTCCTCCTCCTCTCTCCCCTCCCTCTTCCCTGTGTCTCTCCTCCTCCCCATCTCTCTCATTCCCCTTTCCCTGTGTCTCTCCCCCTCCCCCATCTCTTTCCTTCCTCTCCCTCCCCTTTCCTGTGTTCTCCCTCCTCTCCCTCCCCTTTCCCTGTGTCTCTCCCATCTCTCTCCCTCCCCTTTCCCTGTGTCTCTCCCATCTCTCCCCCCCCTTCCCTGTGTCTCTCCCCTCCTCCCTCTATTCCCCTCTCTGTTTCATTCCCCCCCCCCTTTACCTAGAGAAGTCAGGGGGCTGGCCGCGTTCCAGGCTGGAGCCGCCGGGCCGGGTGGCAGCTTCCCCGGTCCGGCGGCACTCCTGTCACTGCTGTTGCTGATGGCTGAAGGAGGAGGAGCATGTCTCTGTACCATGCTCCCTCGCGATTCCTGTGCTGGGAATTGTGGGAACCACGAGGGAGCATGGTAGACATGCTCCTCCTCCTTCAGCCATCAGCCACAGCAGTGTCAGGAGTGCCGCCAGACCGGCGAAGCTGCCACCCGGCCCGACGGCTCCAGCCTGGAACGCAGCCGGCCCCCTCTGAGTGTGCCACCGGACCGGCCACCCGGTGGCACCTATGTGGCAGCGCAGCCCCCAGGTGCCACGGCCCACCGGTATCCCGGTATTTCCCGGTATCCCGGTGGGCAAGTCCGGCCCTGAATAGAGCTATTCACTAAAGAGCCTTTCTTCCAGCTTCGAGAATATTCAGCGGAGAGACCCAGTCCGCTACAAGTGATGGCATTGGTGGGCAGACAAACACAGGTTCAAGATACAAGTGAGGAATATCATGTGTTCATCATAGCAAAGAAGAGACATAACTTTCGTGATTGTATGATGCGCCGAGGGACAAGTATCGTGACAAACACTCTCAGGTATATGTACACATGTGTTTGCAGACACAACATACATATTCTCACAGACAAACACACAGGTACTCATTCACACACATGTATATACACAATTACAGGCACACACAGATACACACTGCCAAAGTGATGATACACATGCTACCAGACACATGCGTACATACAGATACACACTACCAGAGACACACACACAAATATTTATCATCAGACACATACATATACACACCGTCATAAAAAAAACACACAGATAGTTTTAGGGTGGCTTATTCTCCTAGAGCTGACACGCAAGATTGGAAAGTCCATTAGTAAAGTCATGTCTGCAGCACACAATTCAGCACATCTGTAATATGATCCAAGTGCATAGTGTTAGAGTGCCCCAAGTGGGCTCCAGTCCTTGGTTGGGCCCCTCCCATGAATACTGTCTATAACACTTGATGCTATAAGTAGCAGATTTGGTTGAACAACAACAGGATAGTCTCTTGACATTTACATACAAATTTAGGTATCTCCCTGCATGCTCTTTTGCATAATATTATGCTTGTGTAGGGCTACATACATTGCATGCTATTAGTTGCTAACAGCCAGTAAAGAATTGAAATGCTGTTGTTTACTAACCTGCAATCATCCAGCAAAGACAGAAAAGACATAAAATAACTTCAATTATGAGGATCGTTTTTTTGAAGAAGTGTTTTATAGGAATCAGCAAGCAAATCAACACTCGTGTTACACCACCCACGATGAGATAGATGGGTATATAGGGTTGAGAATGGCAGTTGTCTTTATGCATAGCACCTGTAAATGGCACAGTTACAAAACATTAACTAAAGTTATTTTCCCTCCAGAATACATATTTATCTAATTAAGCGATCACATATTATGTGGGACATTTAGTAAAGTCCAGAAAAGTCTTAGTAAAAGTCTTAGTCCTAGTAAAAATAGAAGTATCATTTTAATGCCGTACTTAGGGATTCCTGGTGTTTACT